TGTCTGTGACTCTGCTCCAGAACCTTCCCTTGCCTTTGGATGCTTGTCCTGACATGACCTGTCAGGGGTGGAGGGTGAGGCGTGGGATGACCTGCTCACCTCTGCTCTCCAGGTCACCCAGTCCTCTGGTCGCCTCTACCCAGACCACTCTGCCCTGGCCCACTCTCTGATCGACACACCTCAGTGACCCCCTCCTCCTCAGGGCCCTGCCCTCATCATTTCCCGCCCAGGTCACAGCACTCATCACACCTGGCCGCTGTTTTTTGTTTTTGTAGTGAAATACACCTATCATGAGATGTACAATCTTACCTGTTTGTGAGTGTCCAGTTCGGCAGTATTAAGCACACTCATACTGTTGGTGCAACCTCCAGAAGGCTTCATCCTGCAAAACTGAAACCGCATCCATGAAACAGTGCCCCGCGCCCCCCCCATCCCTCCCCTGCCCCAGTCCCTGGCAACCACCATTCTTGTTGTCTCTCTGAATTTTTCTCCTCTGGCACCCTCCGGTAATGAAATCATGCAGTGTTTGTCTTCTAGTGACTGACTTACTTCACTTAGCATGATGCCCTCAAGGTTCTGTGAAGCATGTGACAGGTTTTCCTTCCTTTTTTTTTGTTTTGTTTTGTTTTGGTTTTTGGTTTTCCATCCTTTTTAAGGCTGAATAGTATTCAAGGTCTATTATATGTATAGACCATATATTTTGTTCTTCCATTCATCTCTGGATGGACACTTGGGTTGTTTCTATCTTTGGCTCTTGTGATATGCATTGTTTGCAGAACATGGGGTTTGCAGATATTTCATCAAGATCCTGCTTCCAGTTCTTTTTCTTCTGTATCCAGAAGTGGAATTGCTGGATCATCTGGTAGTTCTATTTTTAATTTTCTGAGGAATCATCATACTGTTTCTGATAGTGACTACGCCATTTTACATTCTCAAAACAATGCACAAATATGGTTCTAATTCATCCACGCCCTCACTAACACTTATTCTTTTTTTTCTAAATTGTGGCCATTCTAATGGGTTTGAGTTGGTACCTTATTGTGGTTTTTATTTGCATTTCCCTAATGATAGTAATGTTGAGGGTCTCTCTACATACTGGTTGACCATTTGTATGTCCTCTTTGGAGGAATGTCTATTCCTTTGCCCATTAAAAAAAAAAACCAAAAACACTACTTTTCCATTATGATTTTATTACAGGATATTAAATATAGTTCCCTGAGCTATACAGTAGGGCCTTGTTTATCTAGTTTATGTATAGTGGTTTGTATCTGCTAATCCAAACTCCTGCTTTATCTGTGCACCCCCCTCCCCCCACCTCTTTCCCCTTTGGTAAGCATAAGTTCTCTATGTCTGTGAGTCTGTTTCTGTTTTATAGATAAGTTCATTTGTGTCATATTTTGGATTCCACGTATATGTAATATCATATGATGTTTGTCTTTCTCTGACTTCACTTAGTATGATAATCTCTAGGTCCTTCCATGTTGCTGCAAGTTTTTGCCCATTTTTCAATCTAGTTGTGTGTTTTTTTTTGTTTGTTTTGTTTTTGTCATTGTTGTCGGCCTCTGGTTTTGGTTGTAGAGAATTTGGTGTGTAGCTGCTAAGCTGCAAGAGGGCAGGGCCGTGCCCACCTCATTCCCTGCCCTGCCCCAGTGTGCAGCATGGAGCCCTGCATGTGGTTTATTGGTGGATGAACAAATACGCATGGAGCTCTTATCAGCAAAGGAGTAAAAGAATGTTAGTTCACGCATCCATTCTTGTTTCAAGGATTTAAGGCTCTGGTCACATCTCTTTGGAAGCATAGTGAATGGGGTGATGAATGGAAGTAATTTGAAGAGGCTTTGAGTTGGATAATCCAAAGTCTTGATTTTTTTTTTTTTTTTTTAAGATTTATTTATTTTGGCTGCACTGGGTCTTCGTTGCTGCACGGGCTTTCTCTAGTTGTGGCAGTTTGTTGCGGTCTGAGGGTTTGGCAGTTGGCACTCGAAGGCTCTAGAGCACTGGCTCAGTGGTTGTGGCTGACGGGCTTAGCTGCTCCGCAACCATGTGAGATCCTCCCCAACCAGTGATCGAGCCGGAGTCCCCTGCATTGGAAGGTGGATTCTTAACCACTGGACCGCCAGGGAAGCCCTTGACATGTGTTATTTAACTACTTTGGGGCCATGCTTTTTTGGTTGAGTCCCATTTTGCATAATAAGGCTGGTCTTGATGGTGAAACTTTGCATGTGTTATTTTATAGTTTCAAAATATGCTGCCATCTAGTTAGTCTCCGTTGATCCTCCATTACAAAGGCTGGGAAAGGATGATGCTGGCCTTGCAGTGGAAGGGCAGAAGCATAGGCTGACCTACACGCCCACCTCTTCCCTTCCTCCTGTGCTTCCTCCGTCCTGGGTCCCGGCTCCCCTCCCAGGTCTCAGCCGCTGCCTGCCCAGGTCAGTCACCTTGTCTGACAGGTCTCGGCCACCGGTGGCCTGCCTCCCTCCCTGTTCCCCCTTCCACTTTTCTTCCTGTCCCGCTAGTTCCTTACCTGCCTCACTGGCGTCTGCGTCCAGGCCAAACGCTTATGCAGCACTGCTGCCAGAATAAACCGTCTGAAATCCAATTTTCTCATTTTCCTGTTGAGTTTGAATTCTTCGATGTTTCCACTTTGCCTTCAGGATCATGTCCACACCCTTTTATGTGGTACCCTGGCCGCCCTCAGCAGTGTGTCCTTGTTCCCTGCATCCTTAGCAGATGCTTCTCTGCCCAGGATCCTCCACCGCCCTCTCCCCACCTCCCCCCCACCTGCCTACCCCTGCTAGTTCTCGAGTTTCTATATCACCCCATTTATGCTGACAGGCTACCCCACCTCCCCCGCCCCGGCTGGAGTCTCCCTCACCTGCCCTGGGCTCCCTGCGTGGCTCTGTTTATCTCTTGGTACCACGTGGCCGTCTGCCTGTCTGTGGGTCTTTGTACACTTATTGGTCAGTCTCCTGACTGGTCTGTGCTCTCCGAAGCCAAGGCAGTGTCTTTTGTGTCCCATGTTTCAGCGATCAGCCCAGTGGCTCTCACAGAGTAGGGTGTTTATGGAGACGAGGAGGGGGAGGACAAAGGAGAGCTGGTCTGATCTCAAAGTTCATGTCTTCCTGCCCCCTCCCCACCCCCTCCACCGCCCACCGGTGCATTCTCCCGGTCCAGGGTGGCGGGGTCACGGGTGGGCTCCCAGAGTGACCCAGTCAGCTCTGCTTGGCTCTGTGGCCACCCTGAAACTCACTCACCCCGGCCTACCTTCTGGTAAACGCATCCCAGCAAAGAGAGATGACTCATGTGTGTGTGACTCAGCGCGAAGGCAGCACAGCTGGAGAGGTGGCCAGTGTGGCCTGGGGGAGGGCGGGCCGCTGAGCACCAGGGATCCAGGCCTGGGACCTGAACTCCCGCAGGCCTGCCAGCTGGGCCCGAGGCAGGAGCCTCCTCTGTCCGTGGAGGGCGTGGCTGCACTCGTAGAGCTTTGACTTAAGATATCTGGAATTGCATCTCATCTATCACCACTAAATACTGTTTTTAATAACTTTAGTGTATGCTTATAGGCACTGGTAAGCATCTTGCATGTAACCAAAACAACAACAAAAATTATAGCAGATACATGTACAGTACTTCCTATATACCAGCTACTATTCTAAGTAAGCACTTCGCATTTTGAAGTCACCTAATTCTCACAAAAACCGTATAGTACAGGAATTCCGTTGTCCTCATTTCATAGATGAGGAATCTGAGGCCCAGAAAGGTCACACACAGAGGTGCCCCCAGAGCTACATAGGGAAGAAATGACATTTTCTTTATCCATTCGTCTGTCGATGGACACTTCAGTTTGCTTCCATATCTTGGCTTTTGTAAAATAATGCTGCTGTGAACATTGGGGTACTTGTATCTTTTCGAATTATAGTTTTCCTCTTTTTTTTTTTTTCTGGATAAAGATGTTTTATATATATACAGTGGAATATTACTCACCCGTAAAAAGAATGAAATAATGCAGTTTGTAGCAATATGAATGAACCTAGAGATGATCATACTAAGTGAAATAAGTCAGACAATGACCAGTATTATATGATGTCACTCATATGTGGAATCTAAAAGAATAATAATGAATGAATCTGTTTACAAAACAGAAACCGACAGACCTGGTAAACAAGCTTATAGTTACCAAAGGGGAAGGTACGTGGAGGGATAAGTTAGGATTGACAGATAGGATTAACAGATGCACAATACTGTACATAAAATAGACAAGCAACGAGGAATTACATATAGCACAGGGAACTGTATTCAATGTCTGTGATAACCAATACTGGAACATTATCAGAAAAAATTACATATAACTGAATCACTTTGCTGTATACCTAAAACCAAAACAATATTATAAGTCAACTATACTTCAAAAATTTTTTTAAAGAGGAAGGAGTGGGTTTCCTGGTGCCCTAGAGGTTAGGACTCTGGGCTTTCGCTGCCATCACCTGGGGTCAGGAACTGAGATCCTGCAAGCTGTACAGTATGGTCAAAAAGAAAAAAAGAAGGAGGAGATAAATGACAGTTTTGATATGAGCTCAGGTTTCTGAGTCCACACTCTTAACCCCACCCTGTGCTTCCTCGATGAAGTCTATAGTCTGCAGTCCCATTTTTACAGAGGAGGCGATTATGGCTCAGAGAGGTTGGTCACTTTTCTGTAGTCACACAGCCAGGGAGTGATGGAAGCTGGTTGTCTGCAACCCCTAGCTGCAGCCACCGAGCCCTCCTGTCCAAATCAGGGCATGCCACGGGCTGGCTTCGCCTTACCCCTCCCCACTGGTGCTCCTGGGGGCCAGGTCCGGAGGTTGGGTGGGTTCTCCGGAATAAACTCTTTCTTCTCAGTCTGGGGTCACAGCCAAAGGGAAGCCCTTGATGGCACAGTCCGCTCCAATCTCCCTTCAGTTGTGGGTTGCAGAGCACTTCCTCCCCCAGGGGTGCTCACGTGGCTCTCCTTGCCTCCGCAGACGGCGAGACGGTGCACTACCACTACGGCCCGAAAGACCTGGTCACTGTCTTGTTCTACATCTTCATCGCCATCATCCTGCATGCCGTGGTGCAGGAGTACATACTAGACGTGAGTGCTGGGTCTGGGCTCGGAGGTGGGAGGCTGGGGGGACGCACGGATGGAGCGGCCGCAGCTCGGAGGCCTCCATCCCTCTTTCGCAGGCTCCGGCTGGCCCTGGGGGACTGACCTCTCACACCACACTGTGGTCTCCCTCCCCCTTACCGCCTCCTAGAAGCGGCATTTATTCACAGGAGGGAGCTGCCTGAAGTGTGTCGAAATGGCGTCATCGGGGCTCAGACAGCACGAGTGGGGGATGTTACCTTTACATCTCGGCTAAAGGCGTCTACCTCGCCCCTTTCTCAGAGTGCTTGCCTTCAACTAAACACTGTATGCATGTACAACACTCATACGAAATAGCTTCAGCCCCTTTATTGGGAGAGCAAAGGCATTTGAAGCTTGCCCGTTACCCATATGTTTACATATTAACATGCAGGTCCCTGTCTCTATTCTTTAGAAAATCAGCAAACGGCTTCATCTCTCCAAAGTCAAGCACAGCAAATTCAACGAGTCTGGGCAGTTGGTGGTCTTTCATCTCAGCTCGGTGATCTGGTGCTTCTACGTGGTGGTGACGGTGAGTGATCCTCGTGACTGCTGACGGCTGGGGCCCGGGCAGCCGTGGTATCGTGGTGGAAGAGGGGTCAGTGGTTTAGGGGCTGTGTGAAGCCAGGGAGTATCATCTGGTCCCAAAGTAAACACTCCTTTATAGCTAGGATGTGATGTCACGGGGATGACAGCGATTAGCTCCATAGCTCCGTGTCCCCTCCCAGGGCCCCCTCACGGTGCTGTCCCTTGAGCTGAGGTTTATCTTCATCCGGGCACCTGGGTCATGGATTGAAGAAATCCAAGCTCAGGTTTCGCAGTGGTCCTGGGGTCACGTGGTTCTGCAGTGGACAGGACTTGAGGCTCTGCTTTGGTTTCACCACGTTGGCCTCCCAGGGCTTGGCCAGCCCCCCGCCCCGAGAGTCAGCACCGCCTCCAATGAATGCCTGGAGGACCAGATAGCTGACCTGCCTCCCCTCTTTGCACAATACGACTGTTAAGCAACCTTTGATACAGCAAAATTCCTTTGTACAGCAGAATGTGGACAGTCCTTTGAAGTTCGCTCTAACAAGCTGGTCGTGCTAGGAAGTTTTTAATTCCCCAGCCACAGCCCGGAGCACCTCCTGTCTGTAACCAGGTCTCTTCCTCAGAAGCTAGAATCGTCCTGTGAGAAATCCAGGCCAGGGGCTTGGAAAATTCTGCAACCTTGTGATCTTTTAGGAGCTTCTTTCCCTGCCTCCCCTGACTCCTCACCTCCCTTCCTCTTCCTTAGCGACAGTGACCCACTCTCCCATCCTCAGGACCTCTCTGTCTCTGGTCTGAACCCTGGACACATGTTCTCAAAGCAGGACTCAGCATGTCCTTCAGCATGTTGCCTGTATTTCTGTAACCACAGAACACCAGGAATTTGAAACCCAGGGCCCCAGGCCTCTGTGCTGTGGAGCAGGCCCTGGGGCGGACTTTCCGGGTGGTCTGTACAAGTAGCGCCCCCTGATGTTGTGCAGCACAGACGGGCCCCAGGAGGTGTCCACACCGCTGGGCTCCGATCTCTCCCTGCCGCTGGGTGTTTGGGTCCTGCGGCCTCTGGAGACCCGGAGCTCCCTTGAGGCAGAGCAACCCTGGGGTCCCTCAGACACCTCACTGCTCTTGCCTCATCTCTGAATCACTGTTGCCCTTTCAGTCTCACCCCACCGTCCACCCGAGCTGTGACCCAGCTACTCACCCAGGGGATTTCCCACCCCCTCCAGAGTGTGCAAGGCTCCACGCCAAGTCCCTGCTTCTCCCTGGCCTGTCGAGGGCTTGGAAGCGAGGCTCATTAGTCTGGCGCGGTTGCGCTTTCCTGGGTTCACTCCTAACAGGCTTTTACTGTGGTGACAGCCAGGCCTCCACTCAGCGCCTCCAGCTAGAGATAGACCAAGGGAACCTGGAAAGTTCCAGTGACCCCTGTCCTTATCCACCATGTGGCTCTTGGCCCTCACGTGCTCCCTCCACGCCGTTCCAAGTGAAGGTGACTGAAGAAGAGAGGGTCGTTATGCAAAGGGAGTAAAAAGCAGCTAGGCTTTTAAAATCATATCTTTCTGTTATGAGGAACTTTTTCTCAATTCTCTTTCACCCTCCAGCCAGTTCATCAGCAGTCCCCCTGCCTCCACCAGAATGTGGAGGGCCTGTACCCTGCTTTCTGCCTGCATCTCTGCCCCCAGGCCGGTGGGTCTCTCCAGGGGACACTGGACAATATGCTACCAGCATCTAGGGGTTCGAGGCCAGCGATAAGCTGAGTGTCCTGCAGTGTACAGGAGAGTTTCCACAGCAAAGACCAGTCTGGCCCTGGGCGTCACTAGTGCCACAGCTAGGCAGCCTTGATCTGTAATCTCAGCCACCATCATCCTTGCTGGACCACTTGTAGAAGGCGGCTGTTTCCACTCCTGTATCCATCCACCCACCCCCATCCATCGTCTGCCCAGCCAGATAGATCTTCATAGAATGTAAACCAAGTCATGCACCCCCTGCTTTCAAAGCTGCTGTCCCACTTGCGGGGAAATTATGCTTTTTCCTAAGCTCTGGGCCAGCCTTTTCCATCTCTTCTCACTCGCCCCAGCCCCCACCATTCCTCTCACTCTCCTGGCCTTCCTGCCTCCTGGGCTTCGCAGGCAGCGCTCCATCCCCTGACATCCATGCCTTCCAACTCTGCACCTAAATGTCACCTCCGCAGAGAACTCCCCTCCTCTTGGATCTGCTGCACTCTGCCCTCTACTCTGGGGTTTCTTGTTAACGGGTGTTCTCTGCTCCCTGCTTCTGCCTAGCACCGCTCCCAGAGTTGTGCTCACAGCTGGCCCCCCCAGTTCAGTTCTCGCTGTGTTCCCAGCAGGTACAGCCTGTACTGAGTGCGCTCTCAATATTGTTGTGAGAGGGAATAAACTGCAAATGTATCTTCTTGTTCCAGCTTTCAGCAGTTTTTAAAGTAATCAATCATTTGTTTTTATGAGTTCACAGATAATCTTTTTTTTTTAAACATGAGCCATACATAAAAGTTTAAAAAAAGAAAGTAAAAATTGACCCTAAATCCCTCCCCCACAAAATAACTGGTTTTATCTTGGCATTGGATTCAGATTTCTCTCTGCATTGATGTAGGCAGGGTGATGGGGTTGTGGATGGGCCAAGTGATCATTTAATAAGAATGTTAACCTGCTACCTTTAATCTAGCCCAACTACTATTCATCGTTCAGGGCAAAGAAACATAACTCTACTGCGGAAATCAGGCTGGGTGGGCGCCTGGTCCCCCTGCCTGGCTTCCCAGGGACGGGGACGCCTCCCTTCCTGGTGTGGACCTGCGGCTGGGCGCTCAGCGAGAGCTTTGCCCTCGAGCACCTTCGGGGCAGATGTGCGGGTCAGGGCCGCCTCCTAACAGACAGACTGCCTGGAGCAGAGGCACCTTCGGGGCAGATGTGCCGGTCAGGGCCGCCTCCTGACAGACAGACTGCCTGGAACAGAGGCACCTTGGGGCAGATGTGCCGGTCAGGGCCGCCTCCTGACAGACAGACTGCCTGGAGCAGAGGCACCTTCGGGGCAGATGTGCCGGTCAGGGCTGCCTCCTGACAGACAGACTGCCTGGAGCAGAGGCACCTTCGGGGCAGATGTGCCGGTCAGGGCCGCCTCCTGACAGACAGACTGCCTGGAGCAGAACCTCCGCAGCGGTGTTGCTGAAGGACCGGTGGGTCCAGGGAGCCGCTGGCCATATTAGGACTGGATTCTCCTCTTCCGCTGGTGCTTTCTGGCTCTGGGGGAGGGGAGGGAGTGTGTAGACTCAGCGGGCCTCCTTGCTACCTAGTTGATGTGTAGAACCAGCAAGGAACAGAGGACCCCAAAGGCCCCCAGACGGCATGCCCGGCGGCGGGGGGGATCCGGGGGCGGCGAGCCCACACTCCGTGTGCTGAGCTCCGAGGGTCCCGGCCTGGGCCTCCCTGGGCGGCTGCCTGGCCCGAGGTCTGGAAAAGACTGTTCTCAGGGCAGTGAGTCATGCTTCCTCCGGCTGCCCGTGCGCCTCCCTCCTGCCCGGCGCAGGCAGGCAGGCAGGCAGCATTGTTACTGGGGCGTTTCTCTGCCGCCCGTTGGCTTCACAGTTCTGACTTCTTTGTCTCTTAAATGAAGGGCCAAGCCGGGAGGGTCCCTGTTTAATATCCCAGGATTTTCGGGGCTTTTAATTTCTGTCAGTGCTACTTTTCTTGGCCAGTCTTTTTTTTTTTTTTTTTTTTTGGGCAGCAATTCTCCCACCTCAGTCCTCGAAGGACCGTTTTTCTCCTTAAATACATCAATGCTTCTTCCAGGAAGGAACGTCCTGCCTGCTCTGGTTTCCTGGACGGGAGGGTGGAAAGCTGTGAACCTCTATGCCCGGGGTTTGTGTCTGATGCAGGCAGCGTGTGGGTGGCAGCAAGGGGTGACCTCAATGCAGAAAAGCCCCCTCTTCACCCAGCTCGCCCTGGAGCCTCCCACCTCTGCCGGACTGTGAAGAGGAAGATGGGAATGAGGCTGGAAGGTCGGGGGAGAGACCATGACTGCCCTGGGCCTGTGCCCGAGAGCACCCAGTCAGTTGGGAAGCTGTGTTAACGAGGCCCTGGTCGTGGGTTTGGGGCCATGGGCCATACCTGAAATGTCCTCAGCTGTTTAGTGATTCAAGCGGGGGTAGACTGGCCCTCCCGTGGAAATAAGGCTGAGGCTCTGTAGCCATCTGGAGGTTCCTCTGTGAACCACTGGGCCTCCTGCCCCCAGCACAGCCTGGTCCTTGGTCCTGGTGGGAACACCTGGAACTCTCGGCCTCCTCATCCAAGCCACTAGCTCAGTTTCTTTCTGGCGGACCAGGCAACCAGGCCTGGGGTGCCGGGGGCTGGGGGTGCAGCTCAGATTTGTTGTACTGCGGAGAAGTCACCTCGTTTCCGGGGCTCCCTCCTTTCCCTGTCTCTTAAGAGGAGGTCAGGCTGCCGTCACCTCCTCTGTTCTCTTTGAGCTCCCCGTCGGTCTCCTCGCTCTTGGTGGGTTGTTTGCTTGTGTGTTTTGTGATCGGGTTTATAAAGTCATCTTCAGCAAGGCTTTGCATGTCAGAACCCTGTATGTCCTTGGACAAGAGTATGTCCCAGTGGTCTCACTGGCCCACGATATCGCCAATGCTGAGTTCTTAGGTGAGGACTCCTGGACACACAGGTGATGTCCGTGTGCGCTTCCAACCCACGTGAAAGTGAATCTGAGGCTACAGATGTTCAGGAGGTCGTATTTTTTTGTTTCCGTACTGAGCTGAGGGTGAGCGGACACTGACCTCTTCTCCCGCTGTTCTTTGTCAGATCCTTTCTAGTCTCCCCTTCCTCTGGGTGGAGAGGGTGGTAGCCCTTTGAGGGTCTTCCTGTCCCCATGTGGGCACCTGTGCCCTGGTTCCACAGCCTCAGTCCCCTGCTCTGCCCTCCTGGGCCCTCGGGGTTTTGCCTTTCTTATTGTGAGCTCAGCTTTGCATCTGAAAGAACATATGTTAGATTTAATGCAGCATGTCCAGGTGTTTTGTGATCGGAGGATTTTCAGGTTACCCCACCCCACCCCCTTACTCTGTAAGAGGCCCTGGGCTAGATGCTGGAGATGCAAAGAAGGGCTAGAAAAGAACCAGAAAAAAAAAAAAAAAGCCAGGAAAGAAGGCCTGTGGTGTCCTGGCGCCAGGACAGGGGCTGCACTGTACGATGAGTGTCACACAGGCCGCCGTTGGGGAGGCCTGTGGGGTCCTGCTGTTCTTTTTACTCGCGGCATTGTGAAAAAACAGGAGGCTTTTCATGTTTCCAGTGGACGGTGATTCTGGAGTTGATCTGCTTATTCACCCTACAAGCATTTCCTGAGTGCCTGCATGCCAGGCATAATACTCAACACTGTCACATAAACATAAACTGTCACATTTATTTCTAACAATAACTCTGGGAGGGTATTTTTATCCTCATTTTACAGACAAGCCAGCTGAAGCTCAGGGAGACAAACTTGCTCGGAGGATGCGGCCAGTCAGGGTCAGACCCACAGTCAGACTTGGGTCTTCAGTCAGTCAGACCCCAGAGCAGGGCTCCTCCTACATCACGATTCTTTTATGATAAAGAGACCCGCCAAGTGCCAGAGGGCCTCCGTGTTCACGTTTCCCGTTGCTTCCTCGTTCTGGCATCTGGGGGCTAGGTGTGGCTCTGACCCCTGACCCCCGGGCCTGCCCTGGGTCCCAGCTGGCCTCGCGGTCACGTCTCTAAATGCGGTCTCTTCCCGCCCATGACAGGAAGGATACTTAACAAACCCGAGGAGCCTCTGGGAAGACTACCCACATGTGTACCTCCCGTGAGTATTGTCACGTTCTCTCCCCCGGGAGGAGCGGGCTGGGTGCACCAGCTTCTCGCCCCAGACTGGCCAGTGGGCATGAAGACCGGACTCCCTCAGGCCTTTTGGGGCCAGTGTCGTGGAGGCTGGTCTGGGAGCTGCTTCCTCCCCCAGCGCTCACGGGTGCATCCTGCAGGAGCCTCAGTGCAGGGTGTCCGCCCGGCTGCCGTCAGGGAGTGCCGCAGATGGCGGGGGTCCAGAGGGCTTATAAACCCCAGACAGTCCTTCCTCGTGGTTCTGGAGGCTGGCAGACCTACTGACTGCTGAGGCTGCTTCCTGCTTCACAGGCGGCATCCTCCTCACGTGCAGAAGCAGAGAAGGGCCTCTGTCACCCTCTGTCACCCTCTGTCACCAGGGCCCTAATCCCACTCGGGGGCGTCCACCCCCGTGCCCTCATCACCTTCCAGAGGCCCCACGTCCTGGTACCCTGTCACTGCGGGGTTAGGATTTCAAATGTGAATTTCAAGGGTAGGGGGCGCAAGCATCGGGTCTGTAGCGGGTTCCTAAACCACCGGGAGGGAGGGGCAAGCAAAGCCACTGCCTGGAGCTCCATGGACTGTGCCTCCTGGCACCTGCTCACATCCACACCTGCGTCTCTGAGCTCCATCGGACGCAGCACCCTCCCCGCTCCAGCTCTGATGGGACCCCAGGAGGGCAAAGCTTGGCCCTCGTGCCATGCCCCTGAGATGACTCTCAGCCTTTCCTAAGACCCTTAGAACAGCAGCCCCGGAGACTTAGCGGAGTTGGATCCATCCTCTGTGGCCGAGACCCCTGCCTACCTTGGCATGTACCCACTTGCCCACTGCCTCCTCCCTGACAGGGCTCTGGAACCAGGCCCCTCCTTAGCCTTTCCTCCTCTGGACTGAATTACCCCCGTCCTCTGCTCTTTTCATCCATCTTGTGTCTTTTCCCGGGCTTCCTGTGGCCCTCCACATGTGGAGCAGTGTCCCGGCCCAGGGGTCTCGTGCGTGCCAGCCACCCGCCCCAGCTCCTTGCACCCAGCTCTCCCCCATCAGCCCCGCCCCCCCCTCAGCCCAGCTCCTCACCTGCCTGCCCCGCCCACCCTGGCGGGGCCTCTCTCCATCCCTCCGGGTGACTGGCCCCCTCGTCCCCAGCTTCCAGGTGAAGTTCTTCTACCTGTGCCAGCTGGCCTACTGGCTGCACGCGCTTCCCGAGCTCTACTTCCAGAAGGTACGGAAGGTGAGTACTCGCCGCTCCTCTCTGACACCACTTGTCCCCCACCCTCCTGCTGCTCCTCCCTCTGGCCGCCCACACTTGGTGGGGGGGGTGCGGTGGAGATGGGGGTGAGTGAGATGCTGAGCCAGCGCCTGTCAGAGTCTCCCTGACGTCCTCCAGGATTGTTGGGGGGTGCTGCCAGGTCAGCCTCTTCCTCTCACAGAGGACATGCAATTTTGGGGGAAACCTGACTCATCTTCAGGGGAGCTGATGGAGAGGTGTTTGCCTTTTCCACAGAGATTTTTTTTTTTTTTAACTTCCCTCTGACTTATTTCCAAAAGCCCTGTCCCCCGGTCCCTGTCTCTTCTTTTTCAACCCAGTCCCTCCCTCTGACCACTGAGTTACCTTTGGGCCTTGTACAGCCTGATGCATGGGTCTCTGGGTGGACCCCGGTCTGCCTGTATTAGAGCAGCATCGTTCTGCACCCCTCCTCCCTGCTCTGCAGCTCCCCCTGCACCTTCTTCCCCTGCTCCTGCATCTCAGGCTAAGGGAGTCAGCACATGTACCGTTTGTGTCTCTTTTTTTGCAGGAGGAGATCCCGCGGCAGCTCCAGTACATCTGTCTGTACCTGATCCACATCGCAGGCGCGTACCTCTTAAAGTGAGTGGGACCCAGATCGGGCCAGTTCTCCCTGGCCTTTTATGTTTGCGCTCCTCTCCACACTGTCATTCAATTGGGAGGCATTTATCAGACACGCCCTGTGTGCCAAGCACCATGCTGACACCTGGGAATACATAGATGGACAGTGGATGGTTCCTTTATGTTTACCAGATTTTTTCTCCGACAAGTAGGAGAGGAAACTACAAAGATAAGTGGGATGAACACTGTGCCACCACGTGGACCACCAGGAGTGACCGCCTCAACCCGAGACAGAGCTGGGAGGGATCTGAGGCATACAGCTCCCGACCCAGGGTGTTGCAGGTTGACGGCAGCCTGAGCGGGGCTCCCGCCCCACGCGTCCAGGTGCGGGCGCTGCCAGAGCTCGTGGCCCTGGACTTCCCTTTGGTCCGCAGTGAAGTGTAGAGTAGGCACTGCCTGGCTGTCCTGAGGTCAGAAGCGTGGCCATCACCTCGAGTGTGTCTGCAGTGAAGAGAATCCCCGCTGGGCAGGATGTGTCTTCTAGTTTGGAGTTTTCTCGGGCTGGGTTTTTTAGCAGGACAGGAAAGCAATGCACTGTGTAACCTTCTCAGGTGCCCCGGGGGTCCGGGCCCTGGGGTCTCCTGTGAGAATGACCAAACAGGGCGACCCAGAGCCAGGTCAGCTCTCCTGTCTGGAGGCTGGGAGCAGCGTCCGTGCCCTGACAGGCCTCTGAAGGGCACGGGCTGTGTGGGGCCCGCTCTGCTCTTGTGCTGCGTGCAGGGCAGGTCTGAGCAAGCCAGCCAGCGGTCACGAGCAGTGAGGCGAGGCTGGGCCGAGGGTACACAGGCAGGACCGCTCGAAGGAAGGGAAGGAGCATCAGTCAGGAAAGAGTTTCCCAGGATGGGCAGGGTGAGGAGGTGGCCCCTCTGTGGTGGGAAGAGCTCTCTTAGCAGGGGACTTGGTGGGGGTGCGAGGGGCAGAGTCAGGCAGGTGGAGACCTGGGGGGATGCCCTGCAGGAGAGGCGGCCCCCAGGAGCAGGGCCCTGAGGTGGGAGCGGGGCTGGGAAGTGAGGTGGAGGCGGTCAGGGGCACGATCCCGCTGGCCAGCCCCGGCTACGTGGAGACACCGGGCCACCTTCAGTCACTTCTCTCAACCATCGTCAGGATCCAGAGGACTCGTGGTTTAAGAGGCCAGTTCACGCGCGTGCATTCTTACATTGTATTGAGTTTTGCATCTTCACGTGCCTCTTAGCCGTGAAGACCTGGATGACAAATCAGGCAGTGGGACTCCCTCCCGCCAGTCTCCCCGTATTTCTACCTGCGCACAGCTCAGCTGCTCGCCATGAACACCTTTTCTGTGCTTGGCCCCACCCCGGGCCAGAGTGATGGGTGCTGTGGTCAGCCAGGTCCGTGGTGGGGGGAGCGGGCGGGGGCAGCGGGCCCAGACAGGGCAGGTGAACGGCCGGCTCGGCGTGGGGAGAGACTCTGGAAGGTGCAGAGCTGGACTGCGGGCTGAGGTGGGGCCCCCGGGCGATGGGCATCTCTCGGGGACTGTGAGGCTCGCCCGTGTCTCCGCAGCCTGAGCCGCCTTGGCCTCATCCTGCTCCTGCTGCAGTACTCTACGGAGCTCCTCTTCCACACGGCCCGGCTCTGCCACTTCGCCGACGAGAACAATGAGAAGCTGTGAGTGAGCTGGGCTGAGGCCAGAGGGTGGGCTGGGAGCGCCCCGCCCTGGCAGTCTCTGGACCTGGGGTTATTTTTTCCTGGAGCATCTTATTCTGGACACCTCAGTCCTCAAGCACCTTCCCCAACCACCCTTGAACCCGCTTCCCATTTGGGCCCCGAAGGCTGACACTCCTTCTGCACCTCCCCGTGGGCAGGTTCAACGCCTGGGCGGCCGTATTTGGAGTCACCCGCCTCTTCATCCTCACCTTGGCTGTGCTGGCCATCGGCTTCGGCCTCGCTCGCGTGGAAAACCAGGCCTTTGACCCCGAGAAGGGGAACTTCAACACGTTACTCTGCAGGTGAGCTGGCCTAGAGCCTCATGCACTGGGCCCAGCTTCGGCTGGAGGTCAGGAGGGGGCAGTCCCCCAGGTCTCCCGCACTTTGATGTTTAGAGGGGAATCTCAGACATTCGGCCGGGATGGGAGAAGAGATGCCGGCCCCCTGCTTCCGTCACAGCCATCTTTCCTGCCTGGCCCTAGTATTCAGTCTGCAGGCCAGGTCCCACTGCCAACAAGAGCCCCTGCCGGCCCATGCCTCACGGCAGGTGCTGGGTTTGCAAACAGCCTCTCATTTGTCCATCACGACCCCTTGTGGGCTCTTCACAGCGGGTTCTCCCAAGCGGGCAGGAGGGCAGCGAGGAGGCCACGGTCCTCATGACCCCTGGGATCTGGGGTGGTGGGGATCAGAGATTTGTCTGCGATGCTTGCTGGGTGAGAAGTCACTCTTCTAGAATGATTTGTGCTGTATCATACCTCGGTTCACTTGAACCGCACCCCGCCTCACCACCCCCCTCCCCCGCCCCCAATGATATGGAGCTTACATGCGCCGTGTTCTGGGCGGCGGGTCCCGGACAGGCATGTGGAGGGTGTGACAGGAGCTGGAACCACATCTGTCACCTCCTCCCGGCCTCCCCCGCCACGCGCCTGGAGCTGAGCCCGGCACCAGCCACGTTCTTCCCCGAGGGCTGGCGGGCCGGGCGCTGCGGGGTCCTGGCCGTGCCTCCGCCTGAGCCCACCCGGCCCTTCTCCCCGCAGGCTGTGCGTGCTGCTGCTGGTGTGTGCCGCCCAGGCCTGGCTCATGTGGCGCTTCATCCACTCGCAGCTGCGGCACTGGCGCGAGTACTGGAGCGAGCAGAACGCCAAGCGCAGGGTGCCCGCCGCCCCCAGGCTGGCAGCCAGGCTCATCAAGAGGGAGTCGGGTGAGTGTGGATCTGCGTGGGGCAGGCGGGCTCCCCCAGGACCCTGGACCAGACCCGCCGCTCCTCCTCCTCGGGCCTGGGGCTCTCTGGCTCCTGCTGGGGCCTGACTGGCACGTGGCTGGGCCCAGACAGCTTGTAGCGGGGGAGGCAGGTGAGGCGGGGGCCCTCGTGGCCACAGAGGGCAGGGCGGCACTGGGGTGGGGAGCTATGGCAGGAAGCATGCCCTCAGGGTGGCCTTAGGGACCCCATCAAGGGCGGCCGCCTGCCCGCGTGTCCTCACTTGCCCTCTTGCTCTGCGTCTTGGCCTGGCTGTCTCCCAGGATGCTGGCTCTGCCTCTCTCTTCAGGGGGTGACCCGAGGTGACAGCGCTAAGGGCTGGCGGATGGGGGACACCCCCTTCTCTGGCCCCTGCCAGGTCCTGGGGCGCTGCCAGCCCCGAGCTCTCCGTGCAGCCTGGGGGCCTGTCTGCACCAGGCTCTGTCTTCTGAGTCACCGGCCTTTCTCCAGGTGTGGCCTGCTTGGCAGGGCTCGTGTGTGTTTGAACCAGACACGTGTGCGGCTGGGTGTGGCGAGGAGTCAGGCCTGGCCGGGGGCGGGGGTGGGTATGGGGCAAGGCTGCAGCTGAATGAGCCTCAGACTCTGAGCAAGGAGACCGGGGTGTTGTTGACAAGAAAAAGCATGGTTTTTTCGGGCAGAGGGAGCATCAGGCAAGGGGGTACCGCCTTGTCCCTGCAGCTTCTCCACCTCCTCCTGTCCTCCCGGTCAGCTTCCCTGACTCTTTGCTGAAGCCGGCCAGTGCCCTCCAGGGGAGCTGAGGACTCCAGAGGCCTTGGAGTGATTTCAGGGAGGGTCTGGGCTGGCCTCGGTCTGCTCCCAGGTGACCATGTGTCACCCCAGCCCTTCCTGCTGAAGTGCCGAGACCAGCCACCTTAGGGGGGATCAGGAGCCCCTGGAAGCAGCCTGCTGGTCCAGCAGCAGGCTGCAGCCCAGGTTCCCATGCAGAGCTGCCAGGCCTCCCCCGCCCCTCTGCACCCACCCCCACCCCCCGCCTGCCGCTTCAGATGCAACAGAAACACCATGTCCGTCTCCTTTCATTCCCAGGTTACCACGAAAATGGGGTGGTGAAAGCCGAGAATGGAACCTCCACACGGACTAAGAAACTGAAGTCTCCTTAAGGCCAAAGCGCTGAGAACAGGAATCCTCTTGTGGGGGCCAGCAGGGAGCCCCCCCACCAGCCTTCCTGATCCAGACGCCCCGCCTCAAAACAGCACAATCCCGTCTTCACACAGGGCCTTTTCCTCTTTCTCACGTCTCGGCTGTCTCCTCTTCTTCCTCCGTGAACCGTTCTCAATAAAACCAAAAATCTCCTTCTCTCCCTTCCTCCGGCCGCCTCACCTCCTCCCCTCTGTCCTGGGTGGGTTTTGCTAGAAACCCAGGCTCTTCTCACGGTTCCTTTTCTGTTGCCCTCCTCTTTCCTTCATGGCTTGTTTCTCTTTTTACTTGTTAGTGTACCTTATTGTGCAATTTCTCCATGTCTGATTTTTTTACAACGAGAGGAGGCTAAGCCTGCAGTGCTGGCCATCCAACACCCAGTCCCTGGGACTTGAGTCAGCCGCCCTGTGCCACGGAGCCTCCGCCAGGCCAGCAGCAGTGATCTCTGTGTGGATGGGCAGCAGGAGAGACCGGCCCTCTTGGATCATCATCTCCTAGGTGCTGATGAACTGACGAGATGTATGATTCCGGTTCTGCACATGCCATCTTGAGCCTCCCCCCCCCCGCCACCCCGGGGGCCCCTTCTAGTCCTAAGTGCCAAGGCGTTTGGCTTTGGGACGTGACTACTCGTTCCAGAAGGATGGTGGTGCATCGGCAGCCACCCCTGCTCTCTGTCGGGGACCTGCTAGAGGAGGACGCGTCGTCCCACTCTACAGCAAGATCGAAGTCACTTGCGCAGCGGGCGCCTCCAGAGAGAGAACGTGGCAGAAATGATGGTGTCGACCTGGCCTTCTGTGGCACGTCCAGCTGCACTGCGCTTCTCATCATTCACCAGCAACCAAACCAAACAGCAGTTAACAAACCAGCCCAGCGGGGGACACGCCGGTTCTAAACCCAGCAGCCCTGCCTGTTGGGGGCTGGCCTTGCCCCTGACTTCATCTCTCTCGCTGCAGGAACACTAAGCTCCCCGCTGACCCATGGTGCCCCAGCGAGGGTCACCTAGGCCCCTCACCCTCGAGCCTCACTTGCTGACTGTCCTATGGAGTTGTTGTCATCGTCTGCTGCTGTTTGCTGAGCACGCCCACAGCATTTTAGACGGTGTGGACCCAGGCTGACAGAATCGCTCTGCTGGTTAGGTGGGCAGACCCAGCCTTGTTGACGGGAGTCTTTCTGCACCTTCCCCCGACATGTTCTCCCCCAACCCCCCAAAGACAAGGCTTCCAGGCCTCACGGTGCCTTGTGAAGACTCCAGCAGGGAGCAAGACTCTCAGGAGGAGACCTGAGTGCCAAGTGGAGCTGGTGGGAGCAGGCATGTTAGTGTCATTTGAGAGGCTGGTCTTCTTTCTGACATCAGAGTAGAAAGCAAACTTTGGGTTATTATCCAGCAGGGGAGAATGGGTCTCTTCATCAAGGCAGCTCCCTTCTCCAGGTCACTTGCCCCAGAGAGAAGTTTTAGTCTCCCAGTGCCTGGGATTTGCTTCCTGACAGTCTGGTAGACCCTCACCTCTCTGTCAGGATGAGGCCCTGGAGAGGGGAAGGGGTTCTCTTGATTACCGTTAGGAGAGGGACAATGCTTGTGAAAACGCAAATTCCTCCCATCTTTTCCTTCTCCTTCCCTGACACTTACCTGGGCTGCAAGGCAGAATGCTGGTGAAAGGGTGGCTTGTACCAACCCAGCGGACCCAGTCTAGAAAGCCCTCAGCTGTTCAAATAGTCCCGCTCCCCGTTCGTGGCTGTAGCCAAGTTTGTGCTCCTACCTTGCCCAGGGATGCTATGTACGTAGCCCGGGTCAACCTGCAGCCTCCTCAGCCTGCTGCCAGCCTCGCACCCGGCCCAGTCCTCTCTGGGCTGTGTCCTTGGCAATGACCCCCGGAGGCCACCCCCGTGCTGGGGAGCCCTGCAGCCTCATGCCTTCTCCCTGGGCCAGGGAGGCGGGAGCTGCAGCTGAGGCCCTGCCCAGAGCAGCGTCCCTTCTCGGGTACCAAGGTGATCGCTGACAACACAGGTGTTTGGCGTGCCTGTGGTCTCCTCGGTTCCATGTGGTTCACGGTGGTACCACCAACCCGGGGCCGGGCCAACTCTCTCTGCGTCCTAAACGATGGGGTCGGTTGGTTCCCCGATGAGAGTTGAGGAAATCTTCCCCGCCACGTGAAGCCCCTGGGAACATTACGGGAGGCTAGTGTCCCACACGCCAGCTTCAGGAGTGATTTGAGGGGAGGCTGAGAGGATAACTAGGTGCCTGTCGCCCCAGGTGTGCCTGGCACATTTGCTTCAGAGCAGAGCCAAGCCTGTGGCAGGTTGGCTCACAGTGTGTGGCCAGGGGCCGACAGATATCAGTTCCACTTGGTCCTGAGAACTTGGGCTTCCTTGTCTTGGTTTGGCCGTTCTGGCTATGTTCTTCAGTCTCAAATCCTCTGTGATGGCCTGGCCAGACGGCCCCAAGTTTGAGAGGCTGCTTAGCACCATCTGCCAGGAGCCATGCAGACGCTTATCTACCTCAGCAGCCCCACCCCACGCCAGCATCGCTGGCTGGCACATGTGGGGGCACCTGGTCGCATGGGAGAGGAGGCCCTGGGGTGGCGATCCTAACCCTCCCTGGAGGCTCCATGATGGGAAGTTGTTTTCTCGCTCCAGGTTCTGATAACTGCATATTATTGCTAGGTTATAGGTGCCCCTTCTGAAGGTAGGGCAGTTCTTGGGGACCCAGGAGCAGGCTGAGCTGGGCATGGTCAGTCCTAGCCCTAGACCTGAATCCTTTCCCAACGAGGACCTCTCCCATTTCTGTCCCAAGTGGAGCTACCACACTTCAGAAACCATACTAGATCCCTGCCCTGGCCGCCTCTGCAGAGGCTGCTGTTGACTGGAAAGCCCTGGAGCTGGGCCGGGTGTTTGGGGATGCGCGTGGCCAGGTTGCTTTGGGGACCTTCTTTCTCGTTGCCTTTGACTATTTCCTCGGTGCTGAGTAGGAGGTAGGGGCAGGGTGTGCGCCCCCCCTTCCAGGTTCCACCACAGAAAATTCTGTTCCCTGGGTTCCTTTTCAAGTTCAAAGTGGCTGCTCCCCGCAGCCTTTTGGGTTCCATCCTGGGCTTCGGCCTCCCTGTTGGTTTGTCCTAGGCCTGGGGGCCAAGAAGGCTGGGAGGTCTGCACATGACTCACGCCCCCGCAGAGGCCTCCCTGTCCCAGTGAACAGACCCCCTTTCCTGAAGGTCAGGGCCTGACTCCCGTGGAGTTTGGGCCGTAGGCTTGTGAGTCGGGACCACTGAGTGGTCGTTCTCTTTCTCCCCACTGCCATCCTAGCTCACAGCCCTCTCCTCAGGAGGGCTCATGCACGACTGGACAACTGAGTCGTTGACGGATCACTTGGGGCCTAAGTCGCGTCTCTCCCCAGGTATGGCTGGCTCAGCGAGGAGCCTTCACCAGCTTCTCTCTCTCTCTCTCGCAGTTCTTGCATGAGTAGTGATTCCTTTCAGAAGGCTGTGAAAGACCATGGGTCCCCCAGCTGCCTGCCTTTACCAGCTCATTCTTTTATGGAGGTCCCCAGAAAGCACGGGGGCACTGGCTCTGCGAGGCCTCCTTCTGCCCTGAGCTGATCCTGTATCTTCTTGTCAGAAGTGCCTTACTTGCCGGGGTCTCCTGGCCTCCACCTGCACTGTGTGGCCAGCCCCCGGCCCCAGTACAGCTATGTGGAAAGGGACGCGGACTGTGACAGTTTCCCCTCATTCGTCTTAGCCTCACCCCTGCCTGTTGTCAGGATCTGGTGGTTTCCAGCCTCCTTGAGTCCAGGTGGTCATTAGGACCCCTCTGCGGGGCGCCGCCATGCCTCTGGCCCATGCGCTGAACCCTGCTCATCCAGCTCCCCCAACATGTAGAAGAAAAGGTACCCTCGCAATAGCCTCTTCTCACCTGTTTCCCATTCCACCCAAAGTTTATGCAGGAAGGTGTTTACTCTTACTTCCGGTCACAAGTGTTACTCACAGATGCCCGTCTGACGTGGGTCCGGCTGGGCTGTGGCAGACGCCCCTCCATGCAGTGTTACTTGTTGAGCATCAGCTCCCCCTCGCCCGCCCCTTCCCGCCACCTCCTCACTCTTCCGGGTTGTGCAATAACTCTCCCAGCCAGTGGTCTTTCCCACAGGCCGTCTGTCCCTTCCAGTGCCTGGCCACTGGGGCAGGATGGGACCCACGGGAGGGTGGTCGTCATCCCCAGAGAAGAAATGGTAGCCACGCTCCCTCTGTCGTTCTCGTGACCTTGGTGGCACTCTAGTGGAACATTATAGCATCGTCTTAGAAGTCCCTGTATTTTTTAAACTGTTTAAAAAGAAAAAAAAAAACCATCCTCACGATGGGGCATTAATAGGTTAGTATCTGGGAATAAGATCTGTGAGACACCCGAGGCATCACCAGCACTTTGCTGAAAGCGTTCAAGAGTGTGTGTGGAGAGGAGGAAAGTTTTCTTGGGAATCAGCCATGGGTGGACAGCCCTGGTCACCTGTTCACCTCTGACCGGTGGTAAGTACCACCGTCTCTTTGGGTACAGAGTCAAGTGTTTATGTGACGAGACTCTACACCTCATCTTTTTCCGTTTCTCTTGTTTAATAAACATCTGAAGGATGAGCTGAGGCTGTTGGTGCCCTGAGCAACTCATAATGCAGATGTGGACGAAGTATCTCTTCTCTTTTCTGTTTCAGCCTGTTCATGTTATGGACCAAATTTCCAACAAGGAACTCAAGGAAAATTTGTACCTGCCGTATTTATGCTTTCATGTAAAAGGGTTTTTGTTTGTTTGTTTTTGAGGGGGCTAATTTTACTTTCAGTGAACTTTTTTCCAAATCCTTTTCCCACTGTTTCTGTCTGGTTTTAAAACAAATTACAGTTTTGTATGAATTTTTTAAATGTACATTTTGAAACAAATGATCAAATATTTTTGAAATAACTGAATAAAAGGCATAGAATTATTAGTCTAATTGTCTCAGGTATAATTCCTTTTTACCTGGATGCTCATATTTGCTTTTTAAGTTGCAGTGATTTTATTTCACCTTGAAGTCAGATGGCTGTATGGGAATTGATTAGGGTGTTGCTTCAATGCATTTATAGAGTATGTTTCTTACCCTGAAGATTGAAAAGGTTAAAATAAGATTGTTTGAAAATAGTGATATTGCTGGCAAACTCTTTTTTGTAAGAACTTACACCAACTGTAATCTTAAGTTTGTACTCTCAAGTGTGCTTTTATATGAACAATGAGTTTGCGTCCATTTCAACCTCACTTGTAATGTTTTTCACTGTTAGTAATTTCTTGCATATCTTTTGAGATAGTTGTTCATTGTCGTCATGTGAGTAAGGGAGTTGGAATTAAGGACAGAGAACAAGTCAGTTATTCTGAGTGGTGGGTAGCAGAACGCCTCTTACTTGTGTCTGTAACGGGAGGTGTAAACGTGGACAGGAGTGTGCCGACGTGGGGTGGGGGTGGTTAGGAAGCTCCAGGAGGCGGCGCACTGTGCCCGATGCCTGCCGTGTGGCTCCCCAGCATCCACAGGGGTGTGTTCTGGGACCCTCAGTGGATCCCTGAAACCCCAGACAGGACCGGGCCCTATAGACACTGTTTTTTCCTATACATACCTACCTACGGTGAAGTCTATAAATTAGGCACAGTAAGAGATGAACAATTACAAACATATACCATAATGAAAGGTATGTGGATGTGGTCTCTAAAAATTTTATCTTAACTGTGCTGCACTTACCCTTCTACTTGTGACGAGAGGTGACTGAATGGCTGTGTGGTGAGGTGATGTGAGCCGTGTGACGCAGACGCCATGATGGAGCCTTGGGCTACTGCTGACCTGACCGCACGTCAGGAGGAGGTGCAGCTGCCTGAGGCGGTCCTGGATCTCCACACTGATGGCTGAGGATCCCGGGTGGGACAGAGCAGGAGGGTGCAAGAGTCAGCACAGGACTCAGAATGGCACACAATTTAAAACTTACAAAGTATTTCTGGAACTTCCCATCCAATATTTTCAGACCGTGGCTTGCTGTGGTAATTGTGAAGTGAAGGTGCAGATAAGGGGGATGACGGTGTTACGGTGTCACCTGGCTAAAAGAAGACGGGGCTGAGTCTGTGCAGAAGCCACTAGATGTCCGTGTTGGTGCTGACTAGATGCTGCCCGAGTGCTGGTACCAGCGGTGGGCAAGGGACACGGCTGGCACAGTCAGGGGGCCTGCTGCCCACCTCCAGAGACAGCTTAGGAGATGGGTGCAGTTGGCTGAGGGACACGCACAGGCTGTGAGGACCAAGCAGGAACCGTGCACCTGAGGCGAAGGCGCAGGAGAGCCAGCGGCTCAGCTGGATGAGCTGGGTGACCTGAGCTGGCTTGCTCACCTGTTTTGGGGGAGGCGGTTGGCTGGTTGGTTTGCTTGATTGTTTTTTGGAGGGAATGGTGGTGTTGAGATGTAGGGACAGTGAATACTAAGCTTGTGGTTTGAATAGAGCACTCAATGAATTAATTTCTCATAGGAACATGCTTGTGCTCCTACACCAGCAGGATATTCACTCATCCAAGACCCCTGATCTCCTGGAAATCTAGAGACATTTCAGGTACCCCCGAAGCCTACAGGTAACAGGCTTGACTAGATGGTATTTTCAGGGCCCTGGGAATGCAGACGGAGTGCTGGTGGGGAGGAATCCAAAACAGTGCTTATAAAGGTGAAGTTGGAGGCTGACTTCAACTGAGGAGCAGCCCTGCTTCTGGACTTCTGAAAGTCCATCAGAGCCTAGTAGGTAACTGGGAGCTGCTATTCTAATCTGTTCTGCTTATCTTGAGGCTGGGTTCTCTAAGAGCAGTTTCTCTAAAAATTTTTTTTTTTAAGCTACAGCCAACATCAGGAAATACATTATACCTCGTGACTCATGAAACAAAAATTTCATGAAACAATACAAGTTAGTGTACCACCCTGTGATGGCTCCTGTTCCATTAGGTTGGTGCAAAAGTAAGTGTGGTTTTGCACTGTTGAGCTTCGTCACTTGGTATCGGAATACATTCTTAAATAAATGTAGTTATGTTATACATCATCTTAATCCATATTTCTTGCTTTGTTGCTTTTTTTGGCTAATGATTTATTACTTGCTGTTTATATTTATTTGATGTCTCTGAGCCTTGTTACAATGATTTAAAATTCATGGTCTGCAACATTTGTAACTGCATTTGGTGCAGTTACATTTGCACCAACCTAATATCTAATTTTTTAAAATGCAGGTCTACTAAGGGGCCTAGAACTGCAGTTGAAAAATGGTGTCTACTTCTCTACCCGTCTGCGGGGAGGGGTGGTCCCCGCACCCCATATGGTGTCTCTCTGAGCAATTCTATCTGTCCTGCTCCTGATCATTCTACTCCTGCATTAGTCAGGGTTCTTTCTCCAGAGAAACAGAACCAATAGGCTCTATAGAGAGAGAAAAAGGGACTGATTATAAGGAACTGGTTCTTGTAACTGTGGAGCCTGACAAGCTCCAGTATCTATAGTGAGCAGTCTGGAGACTTGTTGAGAGCTGATGAGGAGATCCTGTGTGAAGGCCAGGAGTCTCAAGACCAAGGAAGAGCCGATGTCTTAGTCTGAGTCCGAAAGCAGGGAAAAGCTGATGTCAAGGCAGGCAGGCTGAAGGAATCCTCTCTTATCAGGGAAGGGTCAGCCTTTTTGTTCTATTCAAGCCTTTAGTGAGTGGTGAGGGGCTCCTATCCTGGAGGGGGCCATGTGCTTTCCTCCATCCACCAATTCGGATGGTAACTTCATCCACAAACAGCCTCACAAACACACCCAGAAATGTCCAGGCACCCATATTTAGTCAAGCTGACACACAAAATTAATCATCACAACCTCCTGTCCCCTTCCCTAAATAAGGCACCAACCTTAGCTCCTACATGATCCAATTTAATTTAGACTTCAGTGGTAGTGAAATATAATAACCAAAAAAAGAAATGGAATTTCAAGAGCTCTGTAAATGCCTCTATGAGGCGTATCGGTAGATGGAGGCCCAAAGTCAACATACTGTGCTGCGTCCTGTCTTCAGCAGGTCAGTTGGAGAAAGCACGGACGAAGTTATAGTAGTCGATCTTGTCTTCTCCATGAGAGCACATCCTGATGAGCTGCAGGGGAGAGACAGCAGGCTGCTTTCAGCTCCACGGCGGAGCCTCTTTAGTGACCGCCCCCCATGCTGTGTGTAACAGCTCAACTGTTCATACCCTCAGCTGATCTGAAATGATCTTGGGAACCCAGCAGAGGTAGGTCAGATTTCCCGATCTTAACACTTCATGAAAAGAAAGCTCAGATGGTGTAAATGGCCTGCCCAAGGTTTCAGGTCTAACATTTATAAGAATACTGTCATTTTCAAAGCATTTTTGTTCTTATATTCAGTTACGAGTTATCACAGCCTAAAAAAAAAATCTAGTTATGTCATTGCTAACACCAGGTCTCCTGAAACTCACCTGTGAGTGGCATTAAGTACACCCATCCACTGTGGTTAAAAGATGTGTGCAGACCCATCCCTTCCCCACCCCCTGATACAGCTCCCATGTCAGATCACAGGCGATACAAAGGCTTGGGAAGTCAGATGGGTGTTTTGCCCACGCGAGGCTGCTGAAGGCCAGCAGTCTCGAGACCAAGGAAGAGCCAATGTCTCAGTTTGAGTCCAAAAGCAAGGAAAAGCTGATGCTATCCTTCCACCTGCCTCCCTCACTCCTTGCTAAGGTTCCTGTCTGACAAATTCTTGTCCCCAAGCCAGTCACACCAATCCCAAACAAAAGCTTTCCCTAAATGACTCTTAGCTTCCCAGCACCCCACTGTGCTGAAGTGTCATTGAGGAGGACTGCAGCACCACAGTGCTCCTCATCAGTGAGAATGTCTCATGATATCATTAGCCACTGTCATTGGCAACTGAGGGAGAAAGTCTGTCCTAACTTCTAGTCCTGACAAGACATCCTGAACCTGGTCAAAGGGATTTATGAAGAGAAAGAGGCATGAAATGCCCTCTCAGGTTGCTCATGGAAACTCTAAGAGGAGAACGTCCAGCTGGCCATGGACCTGGGTCAGTGGTCACGCCCTCTCCCATGCCGGCCCTACCAGTGGACAAGCACAGGTATCACCTGTGAAGGCGTCGGAGCTTCCACCATCCTGCTCAGTCCAGCTTTCCCATCTGCCCCCTGCGACCACCCTCCTTCAGCACCCACACGGCTCACCGGCCACTCTGCTGTCTGAAGCCTGCCCACCTAAAGAGATGCCCTACAGCAGCATTAGGAATGACCAGCCAAGGGCAAATGCCATAATCAGGACTGAACGGCAGATCTGATTCGAGCACCCCAAAGCTTTCCCAGTTAAAATACAAAAACTCGCTGCCTTTGGGAGTGAGTAAGCCATGCCCAGCCTCCACAATTAGCCCAGAAGAGTAACTCCTACTCACCTCCTTAATCAAGGAGTCATCAACTGGGAGCTGGTAAGAGCCACAGATTTTAAAGAACGTCTCCCTGTCCACGTATCCTGAAGCTTCCTTGTCATAGATCTGAAAGGCCTCGCGGATGTTGTCCCTGCATGGGCGATCTTTCAGTTGCTTCTGGATCGTGTCTATCAGGGCCTCCATGTCCTGCACCCCCGGGTCCTCTTCTGCTTGCTGGCTGTGGAGAGAGGAAAGAAAAGGCTGAACGTGATGTTCATTCTCCAACGATCTGATCTTGGCAACCAAAGTTCTCACTTGGTGAAACTGGGGAAGCCTCTAAGGATACAGTTTTGATGCTGAGCTGATCAATAACTGTTCATGTCTGTGGCTCAGCCTCCCTCGCTACCATCTGTCAAATACTTGCACCACAAAAAGCCAGACATACCACCACTGCAGGCCACCTCCAAGTCAGACGTCTGTGGGAGTCACATGATTGTCATCATCTGTGTTACATCACCTAGAAATGAATGTTTTTAGAAACAGATGCCTAAAAGTAGTGTAATGAAATCAAAGTAAAAGAGAAATAAAATATCTAGAAACAAAAATGGATATACAGTTGACCCTTGAGCAAAAGCAGGGTTTAGGGGCATCAGCCCTCCACACAGTCAAAAATCTGGGTATAACTTATAGTCAGCCCTCTGAATGTGTGGTGGTTCTGTATCCAGAGTCAACCCTTTGAGGACTGTGTAGTAATACAATACATATTCACTGAAAAAAAAGTCTGCATATAAGTACACCCACACAGTGCCAACCTGTGTTGTTCAGCGGTCCCCTGTACCACATATCAAAATTTATGGGATACAACAAAAGCAGTTCTAAGAGGGAAGTTTACAGTAAAAAAAAGAAGGAGTTCCTGGGCAGTCCAGTGGCTAGGACACGGTGCTTTCACTGCTGTGGCCCAGGCTCAGTCTCTGATGAAGGAGCTGAGACCCCATGAGCCATGCAGTGTAGCCCAAATGAAGAAAAAAGAAAGATCTCAAATGACCTAAGTTTATACCACAAGGAACTAGAAAAATAAAAATATAAGCCCAAAGTTAGCAGAAGAAAGATCAGAGCAGAAATAAAGGAAAGAGATCCTGGAAAAATGACAGACAAGATCAATGAAACTAAGAGCTTTTTCTTTTTTTTTTTAAGATAAAACTGACAAACTTTTTAACTTGACCAATTTTTTAAAAAAAGACTCAAAATCAGAAATGAGAGAAGACATTACAACTAATACCACAGAAATACAAAGGATCAGAAGAGACTACACGAACAATTACTTATCAACAGGTTGGATAACCTGGAAGAAATGGATACATTCTAAGAAACAAACAACCTACCAAGCCTAAATAACAAAGAAATAGAAAATCTAAACAGACCAATGATATGAAGATTAATCAGGAATCAAAAATCTCCCAGCAAATGCCCAGGACTAGATGGTTTCATGGTGAACTGTACCAAATATTTAAGGAAGAATTAATACCGATCCATTTCAAACTCCTCCAAAAAAAAAAGAAGAGGAGGAAACACCCCCAAATTCATACAAGGCCAGCATACTTTGACATCAAATCCAAACAATGACACTACAAGAAAAGAAAATTACAGCCCAAGAACCCTTGGTGAACACAAATGCAAAAGTCCTCAACAAAACACCAGAAAACTGAATTCAACAGCACATTAAAAAGATTGTACATCATGATCAAGTGCGATTTACCCTGACTATGCAAGTATGGTTCAACATACACAAATCAATAACACATTGAGAATCAAGGATAAAAATCATATGATCATCTCAATACACACAGAAAAAGCATTTGACGAAACTCAACATCCTTTCATGATGAAAATTCAAATAAATTAGGTAGAGAAGGAATGTACTTCAACACTATAATGGCCACACATGAGAAGCCCCCAGCTAATAACACACCCTGTATTGAACAAGATGATGATGCCCATTCTGTAAGATCAGGAACAAGACAAAGGTGCACACTCTTGCCACTTCTACTCAAGAGACCTGTGTGCCCACTCAGTTGTGGCGAACTCTTTGTGACCCTTTGGACTGTAACCCACCAGGCTCCTCTCTCCATGGGATTTTTCAGGCAAGGATACTGGAGTAGGTTACTATTTCTCCCTCCAAGGGATATTCCTGACCCAGGGATTGAACCAGAGTCTTTTCTGTCTCCTGCCTTGCAGGCAAATTCTTTACCGCTGAGCCACTGGGAAAGCTACAGAGACCTAGCCAGAAAAATTAGACAAGAAAAAGAAATGAAAGGCATCCAAATAGAAAAGGAAGAAGTACAACTGTTTCAGTCTACAGATGACAGGATCTTGCATATTAGTCTTTCAGTTCAGTTCAGTCACTCAGCCGTGTCCAACTCTTTGCAACCCCATGGACTGCAGCACGCCAGGCCTCCCTTTCCATCGCCAACTCCCGGTCCATCCTAAAGGAGCTCAGTCCTGGGTGTTCATTGGAGGGACTGATGTTGAAGCAGAAACTCTAATACTTTGGCCATCTGATGTGAAGAGCTGTCTCATTTGAAAAGACCCTGATGCTGGGAAACATTGAGGGCAGGAGGAGAAGGGGACGACAGAGGATGAGATGGTTGGATGGCATCACTGACTCAATGGACATGAGTTTGGGTGGACCCCGGGAGTTGGTGATGGACAGGGAGGCCTGGCGTGCTGCGGTTCATGGGGTCACAAAGAGTCAGACACAACTGAGCGACTGAACTGAACATGCTTATACCACCCAAAGCCAACTACAGATTCAATGTAGTCCCCACCAAAATTCTAGTGGCATTTTTCACAGAAATAGAAAACAAAATGCTAAAACTTGTACGTAGCTACAAAAAACCCCAAATAGTCAAGACTTAGAACAACAAAGCAGGAGGCATGGCACTTCCTGATTTCCAACTGTATTATAAAGCTATAGTAATCAAATCAGTATGGAACTGGCATTAAAAACAGACACACATACCAATGGAATAGAACAGAGAGCCCAGAAGTAAGCCCACACATATATGGTCAACTAATCTTTAACAAGGGTCCCAAGAATACATAATGGAGAAAGGACATTTTTCAATAAATGTTGCTGGGAAAAATGGATATCCACTATTTTATATAATTAGAATGAAGCTGGATCCCTATTTTATACAATTCAAAAAGTACTGGAGACCTGAACATAAGATTTGAAAACTGTAAAGCTCCTACAAGAAAACACAGGAAAAAGGTCCTTGACTTTGTTCTTGGTAATGATTTTTTGGATATGGTACCAAAAGCACTGGCAACAAAAACAAGTGGGACTACATAAAAGTCAAAAGGTTCTGCACAGAAAAGGAAATCATCAACATACCAAAGAATCAACAGAATGGGAGAAAATATTTGCAAACTATCTATTCGGGCTACTATAACAAAATACTAGAGACTGGATCACTTATAAACAACAGAAATGTATTTATCATATTTCTGGAGGCTAAAAGTCCAAGATCTTGGTGCCACAGATTACATACGGTGGCTAGTGCTGACTCTCTTCTGGGTCACAGCTTTCTCATTGTGTCCTTCCTTCCTTGTGGAAGGGGGCTAGTGAGCTTTTAAGGCCTTTTTTATACAACCACTAATAGCCTCTCAAAGGTCCTACCTCTTAATAGCATCACATCAGGTATCAGCATGAATTTTGGAGGGACACAAACATTCAAACCACAGGACAAACCATGTATCTGATAAGGGGTTAAGATCTAAAATATATAAGGAATTCACATGTGTCAACAGCAAAGAAAAAACTAATTTAAAAATGAGCAGAACTGAATAGCTATTTTTGTAGGACACACAAATGGCAAGAGGTACATGGAAAGATGTTCAACATCACTAATCATCAGGGAAATGGAAATCAAACCACAAGGAGATACCTCACAGTGGTTAGGATAGCTATTATCAAAAAGACAACAGAGCAAAGTTGTTGAGGATGTAAAAGGGAACCCCTTTACACTCCCACCAACTGCGGCGGGAACTGGCACAGCCACTATGGAAAATAAAAGCTGGAAAATATTTTACACTATGGAAAATAGTGTGAAGGTTCCTTAAACAATTGAAAACAGAACTACCATATGATCCAGCAATCTCACTTCTGGGTTTATCTCTTTGAAGGATACAAAATTAGCATCTCTACTAAAGAGACACATGTACTCCCCTGTTTTTTGCACCATTATTCACAACAGCTAAGATACAGAAACAATCAAAGTGTCCCCTGACAGATGAATGGATTTAAAAAAGAAGTCTTGCCATTTGTGACAGTGTAAATGAGTTTAGAAGGACATTATGATTAGTGATTTTAGACATCTAAAAAATGCTGAACTCAGAAACAGAGAGTAGAAGGGTAGCTGCCAAAGGTTGGAGAGTAAGCAGGAGGGGAGACACTGGTCAAACGACACACACTCAGTTATGAGGTGAATAAGTTCTGGGAATTTAAGGCACAGTGTTGTGGCCATAGTTAGTAGTACTGTATACCTGAAATTTGCTTCAAGAGGAGATTTTAAGCATTCCCACCAGTCACATGCAAGAATAAATTGTAACTTTGTGAGATGATTGAACTCCCTGGACTGCAAGGAGATGAAACCAGTCAATCCTAAAGGAAATCAATCCTGAATATTCATTGGAAGGACTCTGGCCACCTGATGCAACAAACCTAGACAGCATATTAAAAAGGAGAGACATTACTTTTCCAACTAAGTCCATCTAGTCAAAACTATGCTTTTTCCAGTAGTCATGTATGGATGTGAGAGTTGGACAGTAAAGAAAGCTGAGTGCTGAGGAATTGATGCTTTTGAACTGTGGTGTTGGAGAAGACTCTCGAGAGTCCCTTGGACTGCAAGGAGATCCAACCAGTCAATTGTAGAGGAAATCAGTCCTGAATATTCATTGGAAGGACTGATGCTAAAGCTGAAACTCCAATACTTTGGCCACTTGATGCGAAAAACTGACTCACTGGAAAAGACCCTGATGCTGGGAAAGACTGAGGGCAAGAGAAGGGGGCAACAGAGGATGAGATGGTAGGATGGCATCACTGACTTGATGGGCATGAGTTTGAGCAAACTCAGGGAGATAGTGAAGGACAGGGAAGCCTGGCGTGCTGCAGTCCATGGGGTCACAAAGAGTCGGACACGACTGAGTGACTGAACAACAAACAATGTGAGATGATGA